GATCTGCTTCTGCCTCCACAGAAGCCTTGAAGTCCACTTATTCAACCAGTGGCCTGGGCTTCAGGCCTCTCAAATACCCGGTCGTCGGTGAAGTATGGAGAGAGGAGTGGATTTCCTCCCCAAGAAGGGAGGCCCTGTCTCATCACTTTACCTTACAGATATAAAAAGCCTGAGATGTGTATGGGCAGGTCAGAAAATGAAAGGAGAGCCTGTTTGCCACTCATGCCCAATAAATGTGGAACTCTGATCTCCCATTCAGTTTCTCCTCCCCTTTGAGAAGAACAAGTAGGAGGTGGAGATCTAGATGAGAAATATGTATTCTGGGACTCCCTGAGAGGGCTGAGGTGGCGGGTAGGAATCTCCTCTAATGTGGGCTGAAGTGAAAATGTAGCGGGAAAAGAAGAGGGTTATTTTTTTTTCCATAACTAAAACAATTATCAGAAGAGTGGAAGCTAAAGCAATTTTTAAAGAGGGGTATGGTGATGAGTATCTTGAGTTATGCAATTAATTGCCTCAAAGATGCTTTATTTGGGTAATGGAAATATGGCCTTATATTAAGTACACATTATATTCTTATGAAACCTCAGCACAAGTAACATAAGAAGTGAAAAAAGCAAAATTACGGGTGTTTTCAAATGATCCAATTTGATGTTTGAAGGCACTGAAAGAGAAAAGAAAGGAAAAAGTCACGTAAGGAGAGTGACAGAGAAAGCTGGAAGAAAAAGTGGATGGAGAAGGGCTAAGAGGTTAGGGCAGGGTCGATGCTAGGGGAGCAAGGCAGCGAATGTCCCTTCTACAGAGACCTGGAAAAGTAGGTATATTAGTAGTCTTCTGGCATACTCAAGGGGTAATGGGAGAGAGGTTAACAAAACTATTTATAAGATGTGGGTAAAGGAGCCAACGTAGGATGGGGAAGTATGCAGGAACTGGCAACAGTGGCAAGACCTGAAAGGACAAGGGCAGGAAGTAGTCACTAGAACCTAGCATGAGCTTTAGCTGTGGATAAGGATTTAGGTAGAGAAACATCGAGCTAGTGGGAAGGAGATGGAGAAATCAACACTCTGACTTCTTTCTCCTCTTCTCCTCCCCTCTCTGATTGGTGTCTCCCACTGGCCAAACTCAACAGAAAGCCTGAGGTGAGGGACTCAGTTTCTATAGGCATGAAGCAGCCTCTTAGGACATATAACAGGCTGAAGAAGGATCGAGAGGGACAGATGGAGAATAGCCTGCACAGGTTGTGGAGAAGAGGCTGTACCAAAATTCTTGCCCCAATTTAATTAATTCCTTGCCTCCAAATAGTCATTGAGCACTTGCTCTGTCAGATACTGGGGCTACCAAGAAAATCAACACAGACTTTGTCCCTGATTGGCTCATAAGCCAGCACCTTGTTGTGGTTCTAGTGTCAGATGATGGAGGCTATAGGAGTGAGGAGCAACGAGAGACAGCTCTGCTTGAGAGTTAGTGAAAGTGTCCTAGGGAGGAGGTGACTTTTGAGCTGGATGTTACATTGGTGCAGAAGATCACCAAGTGGAGGAGAGAAGAGAGAGTCTCTACACAGGGAGCAGCATGGATGGGGTGGAGACACGAGGATGGGACAGAGTGTGATATCAGGGCTTTGTGAGCCAGCCTGAGGAATTTGGATATTATTCTTTGAATGGGCAAGTAGGAGTTAATAGAGGCTTATAAAGAATGTTGCTTATTACAAAGGATGGGAGAGCCGATGCAGAATGCTTTTCCTAACACCTTCTTTTCTTGGTACATTCTCCTTCTTTTCCCTCTCATTTCCCTCTCTACTTCTATTCCCCACTCACCACTTTTTTATTGTTGTTTCTAGTAGGTGAAACCTCCAGGGTGAAGGGATTAATTAGGATGGATTTAGTGTAGGGAAAAAAGGTTTCAAAACAATTCCCACTTCAAATGCCAGTAGGAGTTTAATTTGAGGACAGTGGAAATGTTGGGGATGCTGGAATTAAAATGCCTAATGAGCTAATGCTTAGTAGTTGACCACAATAAAATAGAAATGAGATGTGACTTCATGACAACTCGAAAAGTTGTCTTGAAATACTATCAGTATATCCCGATGTCTGTTATTGTAGACTGGACCATAGCAAATGTTGAATAAATGACAATACAAACATGTCCTCTCATATTCTCTTTCCGCAAGTTGATAAGCAAAGAGAAAACTCTTCAAGAGTTAGGGAGAATATTCTTTATCTAATTATTCAAACAGACCATTTTCTATGTGCACTTTTATTTTATAAACCCTTTACACCTGTTTAATTAATCCTAAACATGATGCTGGCTGCTAATTAAACAGCCTTGAAAGTGACTGACTGAAGGTAGTAATTTGAGATAATTAGTTTTGGTTTCAAACACTCAATTTTCACACTTTGTGCTCATTTTTAGAAAGGGGTGGCTCATTATTACAGGCAGGGTGGGGATTGTGTAAGGCATTTTATGGCTGGACTCTAAGAAGCTTTTTAGCTACTGGACTCTGAATAATCCAAAGTGGGAGGATTATTATATATCTGAATAGGGCAAGGAAACTTGCTATATCATTTGCTATAGAATGCACCTCCATGCCACATTCACACATGCACAGAATTCCTTCCAAAGTGAAGGTCAAGCTGCTGGATCTTTCATTAGAACATAGAAATGCACATGCTCTTGATCTTTGGGAAATTTTTACCTAATGAGTGGTAGAGCTCACTGAGCCATTCATTGTCTCTTTCCCAGGTCCTCTAGAAGCAAGCAAGAAAAGATGTTAAAGGCCAAGTTTTGGTGTGTGGTTAGAGACTTGAAGGGGTGTCCCTGCTGCACGGTCATGTACTACAAAGGCACAAAGCTTAATCAAGGGAGCAATCTGTCAAAAGACAGCCGTTGTATCTGGTAGAGAAGGCAAAGGGGTGGAAAAGGAGGCAGATGAGACTGGTTTACAGAGTTAACAAGCAAGTTGACATGGTCTCACTAGGGAAACAGGGCTGGGAAGAATTGGGGGTAAAATAGGCTAAATCATTGTTACAGTCAATGTAGATAACAGGTTATACAAAGCTGACTGGATTCTGCAGCACCCTGGAGAGCTCCAAGCACTTTCTTGTACTTCGGCTCCCTGGGTAACTGAGGCTTATTACTTGGGAAGTTCAGTGTCACTTCATTGGCCACCAATGTGGTGTAGGGCTCAATGTGTTGAGGGCTTTTCAAAGGTGTCAGACTTTCATCTGGATTAGGAATCATTTGGCCAAGGGATGATGGGTGATGATGGTTGGGTGCTAGTGTGCAGGCCAGTTTGGGAAGATGGAACTACAGCCCCTTTGGCATCAGAGCACTGTCATTGGCTGCAGGATCTGATGGCGAGCAAAGTTAATTGTTTTGTGTATGAGTCAAGCTTGCATCTTCAATTAAGCACCCTGAGATAGAGTATCTTGTAGTCATTTTGACTTCTGAACTTTCACCCACACCATGGTATCTGAGCGGGGATGAGATGCACAGCTGAAAAGTTCATCCTCCCAAACTTCCCTTCTCCTCTCACTCTTCGCACTTTCCTTGGGTGATCACAAGCCCTTCTATGGCTTAAACTGCTACCCTCATAATGACGCGTCTTTCTTTACCTCCAGTCCCAAAGACTCTCGTAAACTCCACGTCCCCCAATATTATTGCCCTCTATTTAGTTGCTTATACTTATCTCACAAGAACCTCAAAAGAAGCAAATCAAAGTTAAACTCATCATTTTTCTGGCAAATCTCTTTTGTCTATCTTGGTAAATACCAAACATCATCTACCCAGTTACCAAAGCCATAAAATGGAGTCATTCCACATTTTTCCTCATCACCTACATCTTTGCTTATGCTTTAGATACTTATAGATTCTGCACCCTTCCTTTTCCTCCTTCATCATTTAGTTTCTGTCTAGCTTTACAGTTTCAGTTCCTGACATATCTCCCTTGGTATCCTCTGTTGCCGCCATCTGACATGCAGTTCTTGGAACCTACCAGGCCCTTTCCTTACTCCTTTGGATGCAGTTTCCTGCGGCTGAAATGTCCTTTTCTGCCTTGTTTTCCAGATTTCCTGCATCTTCTGTGCCCAGTCTGTCCTTCACATCCTTCTGCTATACTTCTTTAGCAACCATGTGTTCTGTTATCATAGCACTTTTCCCTGGTATAAGAGTCCTCACTTGGATATTTGAATGAATGTTACATTTTAAAAGTTTTGTTTAAGGGGAAAATTTGTGGCATGTAGTTAATTTGTTACTCGATTTGAATTTATTTAGGAAAAATGACATAGAATTCCTAGTTTTGAAAATCTTATAGCGATTACCCTCTTTATGCCAGAGAATGGTCTCTTTTCCAAAGAAATTATGTCATAGATTCAGATTCTTGTTTTGTGATGGTTTGAGAGGGCTGGTTAGAAAGATAGTTTCGTTAGAAATTTCATGGTTGGTTATTCTGAAATCTTTGTATGGTACTCAATGATTATATTAATAATCAGTAAATAGACTTGTAAAACTATATATTTAAAATACTCTACCAAAAATATAATCTTAAAATTGAAATGGTATCAAGTGTAAAAAAAAAATCACATATTAAAGTCTCTGTTCATCATTGTGTAGTCTTTACTAAAGCCAAAGACAGTTTCGGAGGTAACCTTTGCTGATGCATGTATGTGCTATATCTTCATTTCTGCCTTATTTCTGCACCAGAACTTATCACATATAAAATAAAAAGCAACAACAAAAAGCACAAATACTTTGCTTTGGTTTCAGAAACAGTGGAACCTGAAGCAAAACTATATTCTTGTTGTTTACAAATGTGCTTTGAAAGAAAGTAAGCTCACAAACCATTATAAAATACTTTTAAACTAGATTTGTGGTCATAAAACCTTATTTTGGGTTCAGGCTGCCCTATCTAGGTTTCTGGTATAGCTTTGGATGTTCAGTCTCTTGTGACAATCCATCATTCCACACAATTCCTCATGGGTTGAAATGACCTGTCATTTGTTTTGCAGATACCTCAAATCAGCTATGCATCTACAGCCCCAGAGCTAAGTGATAACACCAGGTATGACTTCTTCTCTCGAGTGGTCCCACCTGACTCCTACCAAGCGCAAGCCATGGTGGATATTGTGATGGAACTGAAGTGGAATTATGTGTCAACACTGGCTTCTGAGGGCAACTATGGAGAGAGTGGTGTGGAGGCCTTCACTCAGATCTCGAGGGAGATTGGTAAGCACTTACTTATTAGATGATTGTGTTTGGAGGCAACAGGTTGTGGAAATCTGTGCGTCTCCAAGCACTCTCTGATCTGTATGGGATAATTAGAGCTCCCACAGATGCATGACCTAGGCTGTCTACTCTATGGGGAAGCTGGGTTTATTATAAATGATTTTGTTGTTCATGGTCTATCAAGGTGACACTTTGGTGCTAATTTGGGAAATAGCGCTTCTGACTCAGGTGAACATTTTTTAAAGTTGTCTGTTTTGACAAGGGAGTTTGCTGGCACATTAGAGCCACTGTAAATTTGAATAAATGACATACTTTTTGATTGTTCTAGATGGAAGTTTACATTAGCAAGTCATTATATTAAAAAAAAAAAGCTGTGGAATTTAACATCCAACACTGGAGGGATTAAGACTGGTAATCATTTTAAAACGATGCTGAAATAGCCCCCAAGGCCATGGTTAATTAAGGTTCTTATGGTCGTATTTGACTTTTACTCTTACCTTAAACTCTGACGCTTACAATGGGGTTAAGGGCACAATGTAAAAACTTGGTCAGAACCTGGTGCTGATGAGCTCCATTCTGGACTGTTTTCAAGGTACTTATCTAAATCTCTATAGCCATTTCAACATGTGTATGTTTATTTACGAGGTTGTAAATCCATTCCGCTGTATAGGAAAAAACCAGAACAAAACACAAAACAATTTAGAGGACGAATCTTATTGCTGATGGTCAACAAAATAACTTTGTAGATGAAAGGAGGCATATTACTGTTACTTTACAAATACTATTACTCTTATTAAGAATTACTGAATTACATTTAAATATTTTTTTCTGTAAAAGTAATAATATTTTGTCAAAAAATCAAAGTGCCTATTGGCTGTTTTTGAGTAATTTTGAACTTGAAGGAAGAAATTATGTTGATAATTTATTGTCTTTCTTAGAGACTTCAACTCAGGAAAAGATCCTGGGGGTGATTTGGGCTAATCCATAATTAGCAAGGATGAAGAGTTATTGGAATAAGTTATTGGTATAAGGTGTTCTCTTGAAAGATGTGCAGATGACTGGGATCTGTTTTGCACATAATAGGGCATGGAAATTTATTATACACAATATTTAATATGTTTAACATTTGTTCCAGTGTTGTGCTTGTGCATAAAATGTAGAAAAGGCCTAGTCTTGTTGGACAGATTGGGTTAATTGATTTAATCAGACAACTATTCACACCTGTTGTGTCCGTGGTGCCATACACATTGCTCTTTGGAATTTAAAATTATATCACTATTGCTATAAAAATGATTCAAAACACTCGATTGAACTTTAAATGCCGGCAAATTATATTACCTTCTTGGATAAGAATCCCAAGTTTATCCTTAGAGGAAATGCCCACTCAAGTGAAAACAATAGCTTCTAGAGGCAGGGTTAATGCATTATTTAAGCAGCTGATGTCAGTTCTCACCAGAATGATAATTCAACAAAAGGAAGGAAATAATAGAGTATGCATTGCAATGATAAATTTCTGTAGTGATTCTATACATTCTTCGACTACAGGATACCTTTGTGACATGAAACAGATGACTATGAAAAATTCAATACCGGACATAATTTTCCAATTGTTGCAGAATCTGATAAAATGCATTATTTTAAAAGTTAAGTGAGATGGCTGTTTTATATTTTTTACTAAAGTAGGAAATACTTAATTTCGCTTTTTAGGTAGCATTGCTATATTTTGGTAATATTGTCACATTCATTATTCATTCATTATTCCTGCTTCTGTCTTAGTCATTAGTATGGGAGAAAATAATTCTAGTGCCTTGTGTATGCTTCTGATAAGAGTAACATGTTTTTTCTATGTTGATCTTTTTAATAGTCTATGACTTGATTGTCTGACCATTCTATTTCCATTCTTACTTATCTGGGGAATGGAGGAGAGCTGGATTGTCAATTAATATGCAGAATACTGAAAAGGCCAAATTAGTACCACGCTAGAGTATGCCATGGAATATATTAAATATCAAAATTATTCCCCATTTTCATGACAAAGATTTCATCTGGAACAAAAATAGCCGAAAATTAAACCTTTTACATGACAATGATATTAATGAAAATGGCGAATGGTAGCAACTTAACCCATTCTGAAGTGAACTGATGACTAATGAAAATTCTTTAGTTCTGTAACATTAGCTTGTCTTACTACAACACTGATGACGTCTCTGTCACCATGTTAATAGCACGTTATTAAAAATTTTAGTATCTTGACTGAGGAGCCATATGCATCCATTTTCTGGAGTGCCTGCCTATTAATAAAATTATATATTTTCCCAACTCTTATAAATTTTCTTTGTAGTCTGTTCCGAATTTTTCTCTTTAGGCACGTTGATCACTAAGAAATTTCGGTATAAATTGAGGCTTCCTATGTTTTATCTCTGATTAAGTCAGACAGATTATAATGGAATGCTAGTGAAATGAAAATCAGTTTAGTGATAAATTGCTTGTAAGGTTTGGTTAGAACATTTTTCATTTTAACGAAATTTGAGACTTGGGAAGTATCCTTCATGAATCTTAGAGAACGAAGTTTATGAGTAAGTGATGATCATGAACAGAGATAGCAGCGATGGCTCTTCTCTAGTCAAGATCCTTCTGAGGGAGAGAAAGACAGGAGTTATTTGATAAAATAGACAAATGGCTCCTTGATATCCTACCTGTTATAGTCTCATCCCAAGGCATCCTTTACTGTAGCATTTATATTAGGCAAGGCAAAAAATATATTTGAGGTCAGCAAATAGCAATATTTGACTGAAAATTAGTTTGTGTAGTGAGGTATGGGAGACAAAATAAGAAGGCTTGACATAGATACACAATTGAGTATTGCACCTCATAGGGTGGTAATTTTACCTTTTTTTTTTTTTTGCCAGACAGTGGAGGAAACTGCTGAGGAGACAGGGATCTATTAGGATGTGTATTTAAGAGTGCACAAATGAGAAGTGGAAGATAGGGAGACCAGCTGAGAGGCCACTGCAATATCAATCTCAGCCTGATATTGGGCATGATAGTAGAAATGGAAGAGGGAGGAGATTTGAGAGACATTTGCTAGGCAAAGTCTATGGAACTTAGCAACTGATTGGAAGTAGAGTTGAGGGTAAGAAAAAAAATTAAAGTTGAACTTACAATTCTGAACCTGGGCCACTGGGAGAATGCAAGTGGCATGAATGTAAAAGAGACAGTAAAATAGAAAGGTTGGTTTGGGATGAGAAGTGTAGTTTGGTTATAAACACAATAAACTGTAGGTACCAGTACATATCTTTGTGGAGAAGAGCAACAAAGAACATTGGTCTAGAGCCAAAGCATGAACTGAGACGTATATCTAAAGCTCATTTTCATAAAATTGACAACTGAGGTGTGGAAGGTAATTATTGAGGTAGAATATGTAGAGTGAGAGTTGAAGGGGGCTGAGGATAGACTCTTGAGGAAAAACTTTATTTAAAGGTATGGGATCATGAATGTTGATAAGGATGTGGAGAGAAGGAAACCCTTGTATACTGTTGGCAGGAATGTAAATTAGTACAGACATTATGAAAAATAATATGGAGGTTTCTCAAAAATTAAAAATAGAAATACCATACAATCCAGCAATCCCACTCCCGGATATATACACAAAGAAAATGAAATCAGCATTGTGAAGCGATATCTGCACTTTCATGTTCATTGCAGCATTATTCACAGTAGCCAAGACGGAAACAACCTAAGTGTCCATTGATGGATAAATTAATAAAGAAAAAATATATATGATGAAATATTATTCAGACTTTCAAAAGAGGGAAATCCCACCATTTGTGACAGAATGGAAGAACCTGGAGGACATTATGCTAAGAGAAATAAGCCTGGCACAGAAAGACAAATACTTGCTTATATGTGGAACCTAAAAAAGTTGAACTCATAAAAGCAGATTGTTGAATGGTGGTTTCCAAGGGTTCGGAGGTGGGTAGGAGAAATGGGATGATGTTGGACAAAGGGTACACACTTTGTTTTGCAGGATGAATAAATTCTAGAGATCTAATGTACAGAATGGTAACTATAGTTGATAATACCATGTTGCATACTTGAAATTTGCTAAAAGAGTTGATCTTAAGTGTTCTTGCCACACCCCCGCCACACACAACTAGTAACTATGTGAGGTGATGGTATGTTAACTTGATTGTGGTAATTAGTCCACAATGTATATGTATATCAAAACATTATGTACACATTAAATATATATAATTTTTACTTATCAGTTATACCTCGATAAAGCTGCAAAAAATAAAATTAGTATGAATGGAAAAAAGGTATGGGAATAATGGCCTAGACTTAGCAAACGAAAGCTAAATATGGAAGAGTGTTCTCTTCTCTTGACAGGTCTGTGGCCATGGGAGGGCCCTCAGTCTCCTGTAAAGAAGATTGGTAGGAGATGGTAGGAGTTCTTGAGCAAAAATTCAAGGATATTGAACATATTTTCATAGGAGAACAGGAACTTTTATGAGAGGGGGTTGCTGAACGTGTGTGTAGTACAGTGACAGAGAATCAAGGAGTGTCCTTGAGAGGGGTATATTAGTTTCCTGGGGCTGCCATAACAATATACCACAAACTGGGTGGCTTAAAACAATAGAAATGTGTTGTCTCACAGTTCTGGAGGCTAGAAAATTAAAGTGTCAGCAAGGCCATGCTGCTTCTGAAAACCATAGGGGAGAACCCTTCCTTGCCTCTTGTAGCTTCTGGTGTTTGCAAGTAATGCTTGAGTTCTTTGGCTTGTAGATGCATCGCTCTAATCTCTGCCTTCATCATCATATCGCCGTCTCTCCTTTCTTGTATATTCTCTTATACGAACACCAGTCATATTGGATTAAAGGTCCATCCTGCTCTCATCTTAACTAATTACATCTGCGATGATCTTTTTTTCTGTATAACGTCACATTCTGAGGTACTGTGGTTAGGATATCAACATATCTTGTTGGGAGACACAATTTAAA